TACAGAAAAACGACAGATTTGAGATCTGAATGCACACAAAAACGTACAGAATTAGGGGCCATTCACACAGGATGCGTTCTTGTGTTCAAAAACAGCAAGACTGGTACTGAATGCAGACGAGCTGAACTATTTTTACTTAAAAACCCAACGCTAGTGACGTGAGATGCTGAAAACGTACCTGTCAGGGAGTTCTTTGTATATTCTATGCATTATCTTTCATCAGCATACATGCCAGCATAAAAATAGCACTTGCTTTCTATCTCAGATTCGCATGTTTTTCTGCTTTCCTGTGGAAAATCTTCCAGAATAGCACATTAGCATACTACTTGTGCTATTTTTGTGTGACAAATTTCCTTTATGCCTGGATTCCACAAGTGGCCTTCTATTTTTGCTAAAATGTGCATTAAACTGTATCCCACAATGCAATGCAATTTAGAATTACACAAGCAAAGTACAGAGGTCATGCGACAATGTAGCATAAAACAATCTGAATATTATATTTGATAGTATTTTTGTCTTGTTTTTTTTTCAGCACAAATATCATTAAGTAAATAACTTTATTAAGAGACCTTAAGTCCTGTTTTCTAAAATCATATTTATGTAAATGTAAAATATTTTTTGTATTATCCAACGTAACAAATGAAACGTGAAGTAATAAAAGTCTCTTTCTTTAATCATTCTTTGATCAAAACATGAAAAGTGCTGAAAAGTACTGAGGTCATGTGACCATTTGGATATTATAATATTTTGATCTTGTTTTCCAGCACAAATATCTAAACATTCTTAAATCAAGAAGACACATTTACTTAAAAAAAGACATAAGTTAAGTATTGTTTTCCAGAAACAATGATCATAATTAAGTTTAAGTCTAAAACAAGACAAAAATCTGCCATTGGGGTCAGAAAATTAAACTGAATTTTAAGGGAAAACAAGTTCATTTTTCTTACCCCACTGGCAGATATTTTTTCTTGTTTTAAGCGTAAACACATTTTTTGCAGACTTTTCATAAACATGTTTTTCACACTTTAGTATGGCCATTGTCTCTCAAGTTAATGCATCTTGACTGTTGAAGAACGCAATGGTTGTGTGTACTGGAAAACAACAAAAATATAATAAGTAAGAAAATCATTTTTTTTGCTGTGTATTCTTTTTTTTTTTAAATAGTAGACCCACAGTATAATGTGCATTAAGCAGTATTCTAGTATTCCTGTGGCTTTTTGTAATAGCATACTACCATAAAAGTATTTTTCAGCAGTATGTGTGTGTATTATGCAAATTATCTGTATGCAAAGCACATAGTATTTTTTTTATCAGTATGCTAGTGTTATGCATTTTGAACAGCCTCAGTCTTTCATTTTAGCCAATGACTGATGACCTCACACACAGGTCTGTCGTTATCACACAGACTCAGCCCACTTACAGCATCACTGCTCGCTTCACAATGCGGGCGTTTAGACCCCAAAACCAACCCGACAGTAAATTCCCCTGGAGATCTTTAATCAGCGCAGGGCGGGAAGGGTGAGTGCTTTTGGTTCAACATCAAGGAAACCCACAGTCACATCATATTCTGGTTCATTTGTAATTACTCAGTGGTAGGTGCTGTTAAAAACTTAAACGGCTGAACTAAGGGTTAACAGATTAAATGAATTCACAAGCTTCTTAACCTTTTCAGAAACTGGCTACATCCCATGAAATCTGTCTAGAACATGAACAAGCCATATTTCACCCCAAAATCAAAGTATGATTCAAAATATTTAGTTATCCCCCCCCCCAAAAAATGCACTGTGATTTTTATTTTCTTTCATGACAGTAAAGCACATTTTTCCCAAATTATCTGTACTGCAATGTGGGCATTTTTTTTATAGTATGTATAAATTATGGAAGTATTTGTTATAGTGAATTTAATGCATTTTTAATCAAAATAAATACATTGTATCAGCATGATTTTCATTACCGCATTAACAAGATTTTATTTTACGGTAATAAAAATTCGGAATCAGAAAGGAAATGTCTGTGCTTATCAAAATGGAAATAATGTCACATGCAAAAAAAAAAAACATCCTAATATTTTTTTTATGCAAATATAAAAATTATTATTTACACAAAAAATTTAATTGAGATATTTATCAAACAAACTGAACGTTAGCTTTTACTGTGAAAAGTATATCTTTCTCCTTGGATTTGATTCACGAGCACTGAATCCAGCTCAACATAAGCACATAATACATGGCTAACCTCTATTTATGGTTTTTATCAGGGTCAGAACTAATCGCCTGCCTCATTCACAACAGAGTAAACTTTAGTTAACATACACACGAGATTTTCATATAATCCCATCCGATCTGAGCTCATGAAGAGGAAAAGAAACATAAAGCCCTTGTGCAACAGTCACACACTAGTGATGTCCGATCTGCGAACAAATCATTCTTTCAAACCGATTTGTTTTTAAAAATTCTGAATCACAGCATTTGTAAAATCAATAGACTGCATGAGATCAATCTGTATAGAAATATCGGAAAAAAAACAACATGATATAATAAAATCATATTATTAAAATCATTGGGAACAATACTGATGTAGGTGTATGTCTATAAAAAAAATACTATTAGTAATGCTGGAACAACAGAAACACCATATTAAACATTTACTTTATAAATTCACTGTAAACCACGGCTTCACGGGGCTTACTGCTTTTATAAAACGGTTATTCCATATACGTAGTAAGGTTTCACAAAATAAAACCGATCGTTTTATAATAAATATTTTATTCATATTAATATTTTATATTACATTTTTTCACTTTTTAGTCAAAAGAATATATAATATTAATATTACTAAAAATATTGGGAACAATACGGATGTTATTAAAGGTGTAATTAATTCTGTAAAGGTGCAAGTTCAAATAATTTCAGTAATGCTTGAACAATTTAACATTTACACAAAATACATACATATAGTTAAAAACACTTTATTGCCTCTATTTTAAGACAACAGAGCAATGTATCAGATAACTGATTCATCTACACCCTAGCTCATCACAGAGGCAGTATGGGAGGGGGGTAAGGGTTATTTTTAACGGTCTCTGCTCTGGTTCACCAGCAGGGCATCTCGGGGTGATGTAATACATACCCACAGGGGATACTGTACACCCCTGACAGATGAACCACCACGAACCTCGGGGCCAGCCGGGTCACGTGACCCGCGAGACCTACAGCAGGCGACTGACACCAACTGCTCTGTTGTGATTTCAGAACACAGATGGATGCGTATGCTCTAAATCGTGTTTAATTGACTGAAACAATTGGAGAAAGCGCATTACTCCACGTCCTCAAATCAATCCAGCCATTACAGCTCTCAGCAGATTATGAGGCCATTAGAGCCAGGAAAAAACAGAAGATGGCACCATTAGTTCCTTCAACACATGGAATAAAGCGGCATTCAACAAACAAGCCATTCCTGAGATGCCACAGAGGCGTTTCACAAGATTTATAGAGCTGTTTGACATTCCCTCTAGATATTTCTACAACAGATGGCTATTATACAAACAAATAATGTATATCAATACAGTTAACAAGTTATACATCTGATATCTACAGTATATAATCAATATCTAAATAAAACTAAGTCTAATTATTTAGCAGGAGGACATTTTTCAGTATACATACATTATATAATATTATTTATATTTTATATTAATATATTTCCCCCTTTTATTGTTCACAATGTGATCATTTTAAATTAATAATATATAAATATATACACACACACACACACACACACATCACATACATACACAGTATATAGTACCTCGCACACCTGAATCTGGTTTGTTGAATAAATGTGCATAAATGCAATTTTCTTTCTTTTTTTTGTAGTTTAAATAATTAATTATAATTATTTTAGCCTTTTTATTAAAAGGAGATTATATCTACTATCCTTGATGACAGACATATCAGCACATAAGTTTATTTTCTTGATGAATAACAGATCCATTACACACACGCAAAAGACCTCAGGGCAAAAATGATCTCACTGCATTTCATATGGATATGATTCATCAAAATGGCCGTGGCAGGCATTAAAACTATGAGAAAGTCCTAAACAAGCATGTTCTGCATTACACAAATGGGGAGAAGAGAAAATGAAAAATTGAGTATGTTTTTACCATTAAATGCCACTATAACCATTCAAAACAAGAATTTTGGTAGGTTATACTGTAAATAAAAAAAAATATATATATATATATATATACAGTGGTGTGAAAAAGTGTTGGCCCCCTTCCTGATTTCTTCTTTTTTTGCATGTTTGTCACACTTTAATGTTTCAGATCATCAAACAAATTTAAATATTACACAAAGATAATGCAAGTAAATACAAAATACAGTAGGAAGGGGGCCAACACTTTTTCACACCACTGTATATATAATTTAAAATATATATTTTTAATATTTAAAACTTTAAAATTATGATAAAACTATTAAAGAAATTAATTGCACATCCAAACCGGATAAACAGTCAGAATTTTTGGGTTCATGCACACAATTTCTATAAGGCAGCAAAATCACACTGTAAATGTTATGGAAAAGGGGCATAATGCATCTCAAAACCTCAAGATATTTTCAACAATAACCTTGTTTCAACTTATTTTAGAGATTACAAGCAGATAGCTGGCCACCACAGATATAGATTATACAACAAGATCAAGTTGTAGACACAAGAAAAGCACCTTATAACAGCATGTTACAATTTGAAGATTAAAATAACATGCACAAACCCCTAAAAACAGCACCTACAATCCTTCATCTCTCACATTTAAAAAAAATATATAATAAAGCTTATTTCACTTGTCAAGAGCCACCGTCAGTCTAAATTATTCAAGCTCATCAAAGCACCAACCACAAACCACAAGCTTCCACGACAAACAGCTCCATGGCAACCTAGTTTTCCTGCCACCTTCTCTAAATCCCAGCAGTATAAGACCGAAGGAAAAGCACAGTTACCTCCATGGCCAGAGCGGCGGTCTGCTGGTCGTAGTGGTTGAGGAGGTTGGGCATGAAGGTGGTGTTGTAGGGAAGATCCTGGCACATTCGGAGGCCGATCGACTCGCAGGTGAACATGCTGTGACTGCCCACCGAATCCATGTGGATGCCCAGGCTGACCGTGAACAGGGACAGAACACCGAAGAGCCACATCCTTCGCAAAGCTAAATCCACAATGTGCCCCATGCTTGAATGGCAGAACACAGCGGGACAGGACTGAGAGGCCAAACGCGAGCACAAGGGTTTATTCTCTACGCCGAAACCACAGTGTGTAAGGTATACCGCTACGAGCGACCGCTTCCATCTCCTTCCTGTTCGGTCCTCACGGATACCTGATGTTGACCGGCGTCTCGGGTCAGTGCACGCTTTGATCAGACCCTTCGACAGTCTTATGCATCCTCTCACATTCATACAAGACTACAGAATCTGCCTTTGATCAGGGTGCTCTTCAATGGATCGGCTTTAGGATGTGGCTATGACTGATACTGGATACCTGTAACGACACATATTAAAAGACAAATTTAAAACAAGGGTATTTGTAAAATACAGACACCACCAGACTCATCCGAAGCCAGTGTGCAATAAACAAATTAGCTAATTTGACTGGTTAACTTCATTAGTTTTGTGTCTGGCAAAGCCTAGCTTGTAAACAGTTACTGTAGCAGCAGGAAAGACCATTTAAACAGCTGTTATAACAGCAGTAAACCAAAACCAACAATCCATTATCTAGGTGAACCTCACAAAACCTGTCAAGAACATGCCGGGTCATATTTTAGCCCCAAAATCAACAGAAGAAAAAAAAAAATATGATATTTTATTTTGAACAGAAAAAATCTAGCCTATTTTAAACCCCTTCAAATGTTATTTATTGTGAAAATTGCATTAGTGCAAAAAAAAAAAATGCATTAGTGCATATCACATGTAAAGCATTAAATAATAATACAATTATAAAAAACAAATGTATACATTATGGTAGTTTTACTTAATTTAATTAAAAATCATTGCGTCGAGACTTTCATTTATGTATTATTGTAATGAGAACAAGATTTTCTTGTGTTAAAGTATTGTAAATTCTGGGGAGAAATGTGCTTAATTGTCATGAAAATAATGTTTCAAAAGTGTAATGTAAAAACAAATCTCACTGTAAATACTTCATTTTTATTATGCAAAATATAATTTAAGATTTTTTTAATGCTGAGCTGAAATATGACCTTTCTTCACAAATTAACCAACACTGGATTCATATGCATCAAATTAAATTATATATTTGATGCATTTCTGTTTTAAATGCGCAAATGAATCCAATGTTGATTAATACACACACACATACAGTGAGATAAACAATTAATTAGTAATTATAATATGGGCAGTGAGTAAATAATATCATACATTTTCTCACATATCACCTCACTCAGCCCTTCTCAATCCCGATTGTGTTAAATCTGAATTAACAGAAATCAGTGTAAACATATCCCATCCCCCTTACAACACGTTTGTGCGAGTCTACAAGCACACAACCTGCTCCAACTAGCTAGGAAACACAGTAACCAGATATTTAATATCTGAATAAAGTCTTCAGGAATTGTCTAATACGAAAACACAGTAATAGACATTATTATATATTCATTTCATTATAGGGTGTAGCACACCTACGCGCACCTTGCATTGCATTACACATATCAAATATTCCGAATATTCGGATATTACATGCAGGACTGCAATGTCAGCAATGTAACACATATGATGGGGCTCCTCATGTCTGAACATTATTCAACATGCAATTCCAGACATGGACAGCAGACCATATGTATGGTTATATGAAATAAAGGATAAAAACACATTTATGTGGGTTAAAACTTGTGAACGGTGCGTGCAATATTATGCATGTAAAACTTTACCTTTCTGTGGCAGAGCTCCTCTGGTTTTCTCTATATGACACAATACAGCGTCTCTCTGTGTAGATTTACGCAGCAGGTTTGCTTTATGCACCTACAATCATGTAACACACTGAAGAGCGCGCTGCAGTTTCTCTCCAACAGTCACACATCAACACACTCGCTCCGGCTGCTTATTTACATTGAGACGCTGATGGATACAAAAATCGTAAACTACCAGAAACGAGCACATGAAGAGCGTCACGGACGGCTGGTGGCTTTGCATATTCACAGCGAAACTCCCGATTCGCCCCACCTTCAGCTGTTTCCTACGAGACATACACTTTCTTCCTCCAGGGGGCGCTTGGTGGCTCAAAAGCACAATCCGCCGTTGAGTTGCATTCACATCCAACGACGTGTTTTGCGTTGTTAGAGAAGTTTATCCTTTAAAACCTGTAATTGTTTAAATGCATTTAGTTGACAGATTAGTATCTGACATACAATTGTGAAAAATCTATCACAACTCTTACTATAAAATTAATTTCAACACTATTTTAAGGTAATCACAATCGACTCTGATTAGTCCAGGCTTACCAGCGCTGAGAAAAGTAACAGGTACCATGTGAACAAAACCGCTCTGCGTGTTACTTTAACAGCGGTGGATACAATAATTTATACCTGACTAAGAGAACTCAAAAACTTCAAAACACGTTTAATTGAAAATACACAGTGAAAGTCTAAAATATAATAATTATTGTGTAGCCACATCGTACCTGGCAAATTATAATCAGCCTCCCGGCCGCGATCCCCGCCCATTTTGTTATTAGTTTCATAGTAATTTCCTTTCTATTAGTTTAACGCATTTCTATGCCCCCTCCCCAAGACAGCGAGCCAACTTTAAGGGACTGCGCATGTCCTGGGGACCTGTTTCAAACTCTGGCACAGAGCTAGGGTGCATATTTAATGAATTAATTTCAAAACGAATAATTGGGTGAATTCATTTATAACTAAATTCTGTTTTATATATTTTAAAGTTTAATTATACATTTTTTCCTGCAGTTGAACAGTTCTACCTTGTTTTGTGGGTTTAATGTTATACGTGTAATAACAAATGCTCAATAAAACAGCAGTGACATACTAGGTAATGTGAAAATATTTGTGTGTAAAAAATATATAACCAAATATCTTGGTCTACTGGTTATTATAATAAAACTCTCTCAAACTAAACTTCACAGTGACCTTAGTAAACAGGGGAGCAGGGTAGTTAATGATGTATTTTTCTCTTTGTCTTAAAGGGGTCATATGATGCGATTTCAATTGTTCCTTTCTCTTTGGAGTGTTACAAGCTCTTGGTGCATAAAGAAGATCTGTAAAGTTGCAAAGACTAAAGTCTCAAATCCAAAGAGATATTCTTTATAAAAGTTAAGAATCAACCACGCCTACCTAAAACGGCTCGTTCTAACACGCCCCCACATGTCTACGTCACGATGTGGGGAGATTTGCATAACGCCGCCCAAATGTTCACGCAAAGAAAAAAAGGTGTAACTTTTATTCTCGCTGTAATTTTGTTGTTGCCGCCGCCGCCATGCCGTGGAGACGCTGTGTTTCGTTGTGAAAGCAAACTACTTTGTTTGGCCTTCCAAAAGAGGACGATATCACTTCGTCATGCCTGGAGCTGATCCGTGCTGGTCGCTGAGGAAATACAACAGTATGGTGAGGGGCATAACATTTCCGTCTCACGCTTGAGGTAT